AGGTATAGTCCCTCGAGGAGACGATGACTATCTGGTTCTTCAAACCTAGACCCCCAAAAGGATCTAAAAATAGATCCCCTAATTTGGGACCCTAACTACTAAAGGGTACTTTCTAGGAACCCCCTTAGGGGATTTATTTTTAGATCCTTTTGGGGGTTTGGGTCAAAGGGATCGACGAGTTGGAGGTCGCTCAAGAGCGGAGAATCAGCGATCGCGAGACGTTCAACGAACATTCCGATCGCCTGGACAGCCACATCCATGACCGCCTTGAACCTGCTGAGAGAAGATTCATTACGAGTCTGTACGATCTCAACACCAGCATGTTCGTGAAGATAATGGATCGCCTTTTCCTGTTGACTTTCGCACTTAATGGGACAACCTGTGCATCGGGGCCCGATATCTCATGCTGTTCCCAATGCTTGCGAGCATGTTGGACATGAGCGGATTCCCGAATGGAATGCGGATGCCGCAGACTAGCATCCGAGACTCTGCCCACCTTTCCATGCCGATTCGCGTACCGTGCCGAGTGGCATCGGCCCATCGTGCTGCTATGATGAATGCTGGGAAGATCTCACTTTGAATACCGGCATCCGCCTGTCCCGATCCTTCAAACCTACTCGGCCGGTCTCGGCCCATGTTGGTCCAGGGCCTAGTGCAGCTTGTCCAACCACCGTGCTATTGACAAAGGTCGAGCGCTCCCCCACCCACGGCGAACCCAATGCCAAACTCCCACCACAGGATCGGCGCCTCCCCACGGAGGTGCATGGCCCGCCAGATGGCGATGAGCGCGGCGGTGGTGCATATGGCCGTGGGGTCTCATCTCAACACCACTGTATCGAGCCGCGCCACAGGAGGTGGTCCTCCTGGTGGAAATGACGGTGTGGGCGCTGGAGATGGCGGCGGCCCACCCGATAAAGACCGGAGACATTCAATGTGAACGATGTACGGCAACGTCTCCTGTCAGCGTTGCAACGAGTACTGCCGCGGTCCAATGCGAATTTGCATCCTGCCCCTTGAACGTGCCACCTAAGCCTGCCCAGCTTCGCCGATGGATCGTTGACACGTGTTGCAAATGCATTTGCGAACGCGAGAAAAGGCACTGGAACATGGGTCAAATTCGCTTGAAAAGCCAATCGCAAGTTTTTCCAACAGCTCGACAGCGCTGTCAGTGCGTGAAACACTTCCTTTACAGCTGGAGTTATGCTGCGTATGTGCACATCGACGGTGCAAGGCAGCATAGCAAGCCATGGCAGATGCAGTGACAGTGAAACAGATGTAGATTTCCACAAACTTTGAGTCACATAGATTGCGAGACATCAAACTACTACGAGTCTGAGCTGCACCTCTCAGACCCAGGTAATGAATCCCTTCTTTCACAAGTATTACAGGTACCACTATGGTAAACTAATGCCTACAAACCTGCTTTTCGTAGCATCCCCACCCATACAAATTGTATAACAGGGCTTATATCTCTAAGGGTCCGTCAGGACAGCAAGCGGCGTGTCTTGCGGGCTCGCATGTCTCCGTCCTTAGAGCACGACCGAGACTTCCGCCAGCGCAACTCTCTGCAAGGTTGAAGCGGATTCGCGGACTCGGCCGGAGCTTAGGCACGGTCTTCTGGGCACGTGGTCACCGAGGCGATCGTGCTGCCCTCTCGTTGCAGAACGGCTGCTGCGAAAAGTGGCGGAACTTCCGCCCTCGCCTCGAAGTGGAGACCGCAGATCTGCCTCCCGCGCGGCACCGTGAAGCGCAGGCACCGGATGGCCTTGGGCGCATGCTGTGCAGCAGAGAGTCTGAGCGGGAACACGAAGCACTGCGGGCCTCCATTCCCTTCAAACTGAAGCTTCTGAGTGAGGCGTAGAACGCAAGGGAAGCGCCGAGGCAGGCGTGCCGAGCCAACTGGCAGTCAAAGCAACACACCAAAAACTCTGGATCGTAACATCACTGCTCCGTCTGCCTGCTTCACAGCTCGAAAGCGAAAGCGAACCTGAAACAGGCCACAGCCACATGCCCAAGGCACGACACGCACCCCCATGTCCGATGCCTTATCCACAGCATGTGCCCCACGGCCGCGCACAGCTGGCGTCACCGGCTCCTCACCCGATGCTGGACTTAGCAGAGGTTTCCTAAGTCCTTGAGCAGCTTGCGCACCGAGCTTCACATACGGGTTAGTATGAACGAAACCATGCATGCGGTCTGCGAAAGCTCCAGATGATGTTGCTGCGGTGGTAACGGTGGTGGTGGTAGTCGCTGCATCAAGTACCTACCGCCGCGCCCCGGCGGCGCTTGTGGCGCTGCTTGCGATGTTGTTGCACGACAAAGCAAGGAACGACGGCGACGGCGACAACGACTACTGTTGGCACTACATACTCATGCTACGTACTTTGTTCCACCATCTGCTCAATCCTGGGCCGGTGGGCCGAAGGAGATCGGGCCAACGCCCTTGCGGAACACCTGCAGTTCTTGAGGCGACAGCCTGCAATTCTAAGATGCACCGCCATGTGCGCACGCACACATGAATGTTGCATGGGTGTTTAAAGCGAAGTTCTCCTGGCAAAACAGGAAACGTCCGGCATCGAAACTCATGCAGATCTTACCAGCATGAAGGTGCGCTGATGAGGCGTGGACCAGCGGCCCCGACCCCAGCGCCAGCGCCCCGAGTCCAGCCTCAGAATGAATGCCATCACACTGAAGAGGTCAGGTTGGGAACGCATTTAGGGAGATGAAAGCCATGGGTGCAACAACTAGCCGAAACTAGCCACGGTTCAGAGTTGCTGAGGGGTGTACATGGTGTTGCACAAGTCTCTGCAGACCAGAAACCTTCAACCCTACGTGAGCACGAACCGACGCCACGCCTTGGTAAGGGCCCCGCTGAGCTACCGCATTCGAGACGAGGAAAACAGACCAGATTATGGAGTGTACGTCCGTGCGAGTTTGCGACAGGAAGGCTCGAACGATATCAGAATCAGAGCTCTGCGTATTTAAACTCGCGCAAAAAGCCCGAAAGTTGCAAAGAGGCATGGGAACCCGCAGGATTCTTGATGGCCGATGCCATGCCAGTGCCGGCCAAGGACCATGGGCTGCCAGAGTCCTGGGGCCGCCACCGGCTGAGCAAACGATCTGCACGCTTCCCCCTGAGGCCGAGCTCAGGGATGTGGATTGCCGCACAGCCTTTCTGTACCAGTGTGTAACATTAGCGTCAAACCTCAACGAGGTCGCCGAACGACTCTCTGCAAAGGCTTTGTTTACCCCCCCCCCTCCCAGCCGCGTGTCCTGACGTCGAGGCTTGGGATGTCAGGCTCAAGGCTGAAAATGTGAACTGATGCAGTAATGCAGGAATGCATGCGACTAAAAGCACACCACCGCAGACGCTGCAGGATGATTGAAATGCCAGTGCACAAAACATCGAGCAACACAGGAAGGAAATTCCACCATACGCAGCCTGAAGTCTCTTAGTAAGGCTCAGACAATGAATTGAAGGACAGGCTCATCGGCAGCCGCCGGGTTCTGTGGCTCCAGGGGTTGGATGAACTACTCATTGTACTTAATGCTCAGCGAAGCTCCACGCCAGTATACTGTCACATGGTTCGATGATACTGGATGTCACGGTGGATTGCTCGAACTGCAGGTGGCTCAACATCCATGCCTGTTGCGGAGGCCCTTCCCAGATGGTCTGGCCACAGGACACACGAAAGGGCACTTCTCGACAATTTTGACTCCGATTCTCGGCATGGGTCATATCTTCGTGCCAAATACGCGGCTCAAAAACAGTCCGCATTTCCGTCTCGCTCTCTGGCAGTTCTTGCATAGTTCTTGCAGTGGGGCAGTCGCAAGCCGGCCTCCATGATGGGAGGCCCTCCGCGAAAGGTCCTGACCACGGCACAACCCGTTGCGGAGTTGCTCTGACTCGGACATGCTCTGAAAGTCTCCGAGCTCTGGGCTCTGGAACCATCGCCTGGCTGGGTGAAAACTCCGCCTGGAGCTCTATATCCGAGCGGTCCTACAGTCAAAGACCTGTCTAAGATTCCACACAAGCCCCGGCCTCGTCAGGGGGCTTGCGTCCCTTAGCCAGTGCAGCAAGATGGTGACAGACTGAGAACTTTCCCTGACAACTCCGCCGCGTTACGTTCAAAGCTGCGAACTCCAAGCTCCTCGCCGGGCAAACGCCCGCGCAGCACGCCCGGCAGCGCCGCCGGGCCTCGGAGCTGCAGGTCAACGTCTGAGCTATTCGCAGCTATTCGGCCTCAAACCTTACACACGCCCTCCATTGCGAGGCCGGCGGGGCTAACAAATCAATGCGGTCTCTCCGCTGGACCAACAATCACCACTCACTGCACATCTGCAGGCATGCACCCTCAGATCGTCAGCATACTCGATCTCACTCAACAGAGCTATAATCAGCTATTTCTTAACCATTGACCCTCGATTTAAATCCCTTCATCTCCGAGACAAGGCCATCACAAAAAAGCCCCCCAGCTTCAATCCGGGACACGGAGGTAAGTGCAAAAGCACGCTTGCTTCTCATCGGCATTTGCAGTCCTGCGCCAACACGCTATGTCTGTGTGCTTCAGAAGCTTCAAGAAGCGGTGGCCTGCAAGGTCGAGAGCTGCAGCAGCAAAGAGGTTGATCACGTCAACGATGGACCTGAACGGTTCAAAGACAGTCATGCGTGTTTGGGCTTCGTTTCAGCAGTTTAGATCTGGAAGTGTGGAGTTTTGCGGGAGAGGTCATGAGGCAATGGGGCTTGAAGCTTCAAAGCGTTTAGTATAGGCACTTTTCGGCCAAAGCCAGCTGGGGTGGTCATGGAGACCTGCACATGAGGGCTTCGGGATTGGCTGTAGGACCTGTGGGAGCTTAAAGCCTTAGGTTTGGGCATGGGACACCACTGCAGGAGAAAAGTCTTAAAGCAAAGTGTTGGCAGTTCCTGGCATCAAATTTCCAGGGCGCCTTGGCGCAGTCAAGCAAGAAAACCTTCCATGGCGGCACCAGTGTAGGTCTGATGGATGTCGCTTGTTGCACAAACAACTCGCCTCCAGAAAATGAACTCAGGGGGGCGATAAGGTTCGTGTCGAGACAGTTGGAGCGACAGCACACATCAGCGGATCTGCTTCTTTTCCTACTTGGCGGCTTGTCGGCGCTTGAGCCAGCGCGTCCGGTCAGCAGCTCGTCAGACGTTAGGTATCCTGGTCAAGAGTGCTTTCCTAATCCGACAGGATGGTATTCACAGTACCCCCAAATAAGAGTTGACCAGAATGCCTGACCTGACTGCTCGTACTCCCGCAAAAGGCGGGCTGCAGAAGCTCCGTGGCTTCTGGCTCGAAATCTGGAGTCGCTGGCTCGATTGGCCAGCTCCTCACTCACGTCCACTAGGCTAAAGACTCCAGTCTTCAGCATCTGTTCCAGAGCACCGTTGGCTTTGAGCGGATCCGGCTTGGTCATAGCGTCCGCCAGCATCTTCTGGTGAGGAACCCAGCGGACCGTAGATCGGGTCTCCTGGAGGTCCTTGACGATGATCGCCAGCTCAAGTGAGCTGCGACGATCTTGCTTGCCCTGAGGGTGCTCCTTCAAGATACAGTCGTACAGTGACTTGGCATCCGTGACGGCACATTGGGGTTGTCGAAGCCTCATCTCGCAATCGCTCCTCATCACCAGCATGTGCGGGGAGAGGGAGTTGCGCCACTCCTTCAGCTTCACGTCGTGGGCTGTGGCGTCCCGGACCATGATTTGCATCCAATCTATCTCGGAGATACCCTGCAGCATGGCTTGTGTCTCGCCACCGAAGGTGGAAAACACTTTGCGCTTCAACTTGGAGCTGCGCCATGCTATAGGTGACGCACGCACTCGTCGGTTTCCGAGTGGGAGCTCCTCGGCAATCAAGACCACCCAAGCCCCCTGGGTGTGATCCGTGGGTAGGCCCTCGTCGTCCACGACCTCGTGCTTCACTCCCACGCCTCCCGCATCGGAGACAGCGATGAACGCGCTGTCCCTCGGGTCCACTTTCCACAGGATGAGCGGTCGAGAGGCCGTCGTTCTGAGGTAGTTGATGTTCTTGTTGATGATGAGGATGTCGTCGATGGTGGCAGTCTTGAGCTTGCTTGCCATAATGCTCGCCAAGCCACTCATCTCCGGCCTCGTCTCCTTCGCCACCCAGTTGATCTTATACACCGCGGACCGCATGGCTTGGAACTCCTCTTCCGTGAGTGAGGCCTCCTTCAGTGCCTTTCGGTGCTTGGCAAGGGGAATTGGAGTGATCTGCTCGAGGATGTATTTCTCCTGGTCCACGGTGATGCGGTCCTCGTGGCAGCAGACCTTCCTGCCTGCATAGTCGGCGGTTCCTTCCTCCCATTTCCCAAACACGAAGTGGGAATGTAGAAGCTCCTTAATCTCGTTCTGGAGGGAGGGCTGGGCGCTGACGATGAAGTCGTCGACCTCGATGAGGATCTGGGCCACGTTGTTGCCTGCCTGGTCGAACTTCATGTACCAGCAGGGCTCGACGATGTTCCGGATGAAGTTCTGCTTCACCAGGTAGGACACGACGGTGCTCCTCCAGGCAGCTGGAGCGTCGTCCAAACCATACACCGGGACGTCTATGATGATCAAGGCATCCGGTGGCAGTCCCAGCCCGTCGGTGGGCTGTGCGAACAGTGGTCCTCTTGGTCGCCGAAGAGGATTGCTCTGACAAAAGGCATTCTTGACGTCGCAGAAGGAAAAGGAATGCCCCAAGCCCAGCCCGGTGTGCAGGAAAGCCATCATCCCCTCCGTGGATGGGGTAGGGGCAAAGGTGGTCAGGTGCTCGGTGTCGGGATCTGAGTGACCAGCTATGCACCACCTTGATTTGGCCTTCCACTGGTGCATGCCCGGGAGAGGTTTCTTCCTCCTGACCATGCGGGACGCCAGGATGCGCTCCGGGTAGAGCTCGCGGAGCTTCTGCGCCTCCTTCCCGTAGACGACTCGCACCGCCTTGGTCTTTAAGATGGCGTCCCACTCGACCTTGTCGCTGGCGTGGAACTTCTCCTGCTCCTCCTGGGACAGCTTCTTGACATTCACCTCGTCACTTCGGCTCGCCACTAGGTTCCATCCGGTCTTTTCCTGATAGCAGTACCAGGTGGCGCCGTCCGTCTCGGCGGCGTGACCCCGGGCTTCTTCAGGTGTCCGTGAGCGGCTACGGGATTCATCTCCCTGCTGCTCCCCGCCGTCCTGCTGGCGTCTTCCTCTCTGAACTGCTTGGAGTAGTCGACGGATGGGAGTGCCGGGTGCCCGCAAGGTGTTCTCGGAGCTCTCGATGGGCTCGAGTCGGGGCACCTTTGGTGGCCGCTCCTGAGCGACTTCTCCTCCGGGAGTTAGTCCTGGTAGTTCGCTGGAACCGGAAGGTGCCCTGCCATCTCCTGTGGCCTCTGGCTCCTGAGCTGGCTCCTGGATAGAGGATCTCCTTGATTCCACAGCATTGGGTAGTGGTTGTTGAAGTTCCGGCCTCAAAGTTGCATCCTCGTGTATGGTCTGGAGGTGCCTCTCCAGGCCAGGCGGTACCTCCACCGGTTGTCGAGGTGCTTGTGGTGGTTCAAGTGGTGCCGGACTCGTCGAAGAGGTTGCCTCGCCGATGGCCGAGCCGCCCATTGCCTCGGAGCCACGGTCCACGGGAGCGAACTGCTCCTCGTTGTTCGGCGGGAGCTCCTTGGTGACGTCCACGGCACCGGAAACTACCTGTCTCAGCAGGTCACTAAGCTCTGGGTCGGAGGCCAGCTGACGGCCCAAGACCTCGGAAGGGAAAGCCTGCCGAAGTTGTTCTGGGGAGCATCTCCAAAGTCTCGTCCTCATAGCCACCCAGACCACGGAGGGAGTTTGCATCACTACGATGCCAGGACCCACCCATCGAGAGGTGGGATGAAGTGCATCTCCCGACTTGCCCCGCCTGAAGCAAAGACCCACTGCCCTGGCACCCAGCTGCGGCATGGATGCGTCGTAGTCCTCGCGGCCCTTTTGATGGTCTCACGGCTCGCCTCTTCCATGGCCAGCTGGCGACCTCTTTCTCGTATTTCATGTCGCTTCTTGTATTCTGTGGCCGCTTCGTCCATCCCGGCAGGATCGTGGAAGGCGTCGCTGAGAACCTGCAAGCTGGCATCCTCGGAGGAAAGGAGTTCGCCCGGCACCCGGGGAAGTTCCCCGAATATTAGTTGCGTAGGTGTGTAGCCACCGTGATTATACCACCTATTTTTGGCGGCCACCAGGGAGGAAAGTAGTTCATCGAGATCTTCCCTGGTGGTGACCACTCCACGCCCAGAATCTAGTTCTTGGACCAATTTCTGCTTTAACCAGCCTCCGTGGCGTTCAGCTCGGGAGTTTTGCCACGGAGATTCCGGGGCCGTCACATGGTGAAGTACTCCAAGCTGCTCGAGCCCTCGCTCGAATCTTCCTTGAAACTCCTTGCCTCCGTCCGTGATGATAAGGAGGGGGCTCCCAGATATCTCACCCACGTGTTGAGCAGCGCCCTCCAGGTTGCCTGCGCCGAAGGGGCTCCCGAAGTAGACTCGATCCTCTGGGCCAGCTGATAGTTGGTGCCATGGCACACGACGTTCAACACGGGCTCCAAGGAGTCGCGAAAGGGCACGTAGAAGACGTCCATGCTCAAGACTTTATTAAAGGTAAAAATTCTCGGGCATTGAGCTTTCCTCCTGGGATCTGGCCCCCGCTTCACCTGGCATGTCTCGCAGACAAATTTGTCCCGCACGTATTTGAGAACGTGCGGAAGCGCTCCGGCTGCCTTGAGGGTTCGAAGGAACCTATCAGCCGGGGGGTGGCCTGTGTTGATATGCAGTTTCTTGATCAAGTCTCGCTGCTGCTGCGACACCTGAGGCTCCTGCTCAAGAGGCGCATTGCGGACCACGGGTTCGTACTCGGCGGCCCCGAGATCCTCGACGTCCGCCTCTGTCTCATCCATCGTCGTGCTGGGGAAGCTCCACACAGCACGAGGTGCCCCGGAGGTCTGCTTCCAGACCTGGTCTATCAGCTCGTCAGTGGCCTCTGCGACGAGCATGTTCGCTCTGTGGCCTTCGCCCTTGGCCTCGAACCCGAAGTTGCGTAGCAGCGACTCCTGCTCGGGGTTCAGATGTGCAGCGGACCTTGTAGTGAACGCGGTGATGGCCCACCTCTCGCCCTCCCACGGCTCAACGGAGTGCAGCTGCCGCGGATCAAACGAAATCACTCGGCCGCGATGCTTCCTGAGAACCCCGGGCACCTTGACGCCGTTGACCTCCTTGTAGACCTGTCCTTGCGGATGTTCTTGCCATAGCTCGCCGCCCTTGAACTGGCCGAGGGCGATGCTGTGATTCTGGCCGATGTTGTTCATGTCCCTGTGAGGCTCAACCTGGGCGTTCCGGGAGACTACGATGGAGGATCGGGTACCGAGGGCACCGTGGCGTGTGAGGAAGTGGTTAAGATAGCGAAGGGTGTTGGGCAGGCGGTAGGTTGCCAGTGTCAGCCCCGCAAACTTGCCGTAGGAGTACTGGCCCAACACCTGATAGTTCTCTGATCCGTTCATGCTGCGCCTACGTAGTCGCTGGCGCGGCCACTTGGTCTCCCTCAATAGCTTCAAGCGCGCGCCCTGAGAGAAGTCTGCTTGTTGAAGAAGCTGGGCGGCCAGTCTCTCTCCGGGATCGGACTCCACTGTGCTGGCCGAAACACTTGTCGTGCTCGTCGGTGCCTGGCCGTCCTCGTAGTTAGTCTCCAGCTGGAGGCCTCCGACCGGGGTGTCCATGTTGGTGGCCACGATGTAGTCGCCGTCCTTCGAAACACGAACCCTTCCAGCAGGAGACCTTGCCATCTCCAGCCACCTGACCTGAGTCCATAGCGAGGAGTCAGCTGGCGCTCTTACGTAAAAGGAACGGCCTTGCTCGAGCTGTAAGGTCGCTATCTCCAAGGCCATGGCGTCGTTCACGCCCGCCTCGACACGTTCACGGGGCGGTCCGGTGGGCTGATTCTCGGAACTCCATCGCATGGCCACCACGCCAGGTCGCCGATGCTCCATGAAATGACGAAGACGTCGACGGTGCAGCTTGTCGGCTGCGCTCCAACCAGCCGCGTACGTGAAGTTCTCATGGCTCGCCGGAACTCGTAGTCCTCGACTTTGAGCCCGGTCGGCGGCGGCCGTGTCATTGAAGATCTCGACGAAGTCCACCTGAGAGCCAGTGGCCTCACGGTGCTGGTTCCGCGCCAGCTCGACCAGGCACCCCTCGGCCCGCTTGAGCTCCTCCAGGTTGACGTGGGAATCGACGTCGTTGGGGAGGATCTCGTCGTGAAGCCGTGGTGCCCGAATCATCCAAAATGGCCCGTCCTCGGACGGTTGCCCTTCCCCATTGATGCCCACGATCGGGGCCAGAGGGTCGCGCAAGGTGTGTACCAGCCACATGTGTCGAGGACAGCACCAGCGTCGTACTTGTAGTTCGCCTTGCTGCGGAGCGCCCACATGCGAATCACCTGGGCCTTGCTCCTGACACGTGCCGTCGGGTCGTCGGACTTCATGCCATAGCACCACCTGTCCACGTCGAGGTTCATCCAGCGTACTCGTAGTCCACGGGAGCCTCGTCCAGGAGGGGGCTGTTGAAGTAGAGGCCTCTGTTGAACTTGCCCGGGAGCCTCTGATCCGAAGTTGCCCTCGTAGTGCACTAGCCATGTCGCCTGATCGCCCCCGGCCTGACCCACAATGTGCTGCAGAGGCTCGGACATCTGATTCCATGACATAGCTGAGGACGACAGGGACAGGAGCGGCACCGTCATCCAGCGGGGCCAATGCCTCAGGGCAGGTCGTCGGCATTCGGGTTCTCGCTCGTCGCCTCGTTCACCGGACTCCACTCCTCGGATCCGTTGCTGTCCACCTGCATCTCTCGGATCTCCTGCCTTGCCAGCTCCTGGGCCTCTCGCACGGTCAGGTGCCTCATGTCCTGCTCGGCGTTTCTCTGCATCATCATGAGCATCTGCCCTTGTCCTCGAGTCACCTCCCCGACGTTCTGAAACGAGGCGGCCATGGCCTGCAGGGTCGCGTTGAGCTCCGGGTGGATCGTGTCGTTGGGCACTTCGCTGCTCGATCGCGCTCCGAAAACCGTCATCCTCGCCGCTGGCCTGAACGCTCCCGCTGTCCTGTCCACCATGTCCGGACTGATCACCGCGTGAGGGGCCACCGTACTCCGGGCGCGAGCCTTGCTCTTGGCAGTCGGGTTCCGCTTGGAAACATACGTCTGCCTGGCATTGCACTTCGGGCAGACCGTCCATGTTGCGTACTGGTTCGCCCTTGCGATGTGCGGCTGAGGGTGCAGACACTTGGCCGGCGCCTGGGCGTCGCCCACCAGGTACTTCCTGCGCTCGGAGAAGATGCTCTTGTCGTTGTTCTCCCTCTGGGCCAAGTGGAAGTACCGAGTCCGGAGCGCCTCGAAGAGGTACAGCATCCGGACAATCATCTGCCGCCATCGGTTGGCGACCACATTGACGCCGCCCGTCGCCTCCCCCGAGGGAGGGGGTTGTTCCATGTTGAAGACGACGGGGGCACAAATCGAATTGGGGTTGGCGAATCGCCGTCACGTTACCCATCTGGGCAATTGAGCCTGAGGATTCGGCACAAGCTCTCTTCCCAGCAACTTCCGTGTCGGGCGTGTCATGCTCTGAACTGCTTGCAGACGCTTCAGCACTGTGTTGACATGCACCTTCCAGTTGAAAGCGAACTCGACGAGAATGAGCAGATGACCTCTCTCTCTCCTCTCTCCGATCAGGTAGTGTACGACAAAGTGCGGGTACTTGCATGGTATTGGGCTCATCAAGTGGAGAGGTTAGGTTACGAAGATGACTTCCTGGGGGTACTTCGTGAGGAGCAGCGTTGCTTTCCTTTATATACGTGGAGAGGGCCGCGCCATCCTTCATGAAAGCGTCGTCGGCAAGGCCATACTGCGCCTTGGCAGTTTGCGGCACTGGAAACCTGCCGCCAGGCCACTGCACAAGTGGCAGCGCCCGATGTCCGGATGGGAGATTGACCATCTTGGCATCCACCCCTATGTTCCGGAAGTGGATGCGATTGCTAACCAAATCCAGCTGGGTGCCTAAGTGCTCCATGAGTCCTACGGACAGCAGAGGCGGGATGTTGCCCTCGATGGCCGCGAACTGCACGACCCCGGGAATGCCGCCGGGTGAAGTTGGAACTAGGACTGCGCGGACGATCTTGGCAGATCCTCCTATGCCGGAGGGCGCCGTCCCTGTGGTTGGCACGTCGATGACTCGAAGCCCGCTTCGCCCCAACTCTTCTTCGAGAGACTTCAGAGCAACTGTTCCTATCAAATCCTGTGTCGCTCCAGTATCAAGTATACCCATCCCAGCAGGCAGCGACAAGAAGCTCCAGGCCCGCTCTCGATCGGCCAGCACCAGTGGCTCCCCGAGGAGGACAGCGAAGCTCAGGTTCTCGCCTGAGAAGAACGAAGTTCCCACAAAAGAGTAGTTTCGAAGGCAGTGGGTCACCTCGTTGAGGAGGTGGCACAAGTTGTCCGACCTCCCCATGAATCGAAGGGCCGAGAAGGTGCTGCGCACGCTGGGCTGGGAGCTGCAGGTTGAGTTTGAGCACCTCCCGGAGGAGCTCCTGGCCAGCGAGCGCTACTTAGAGGCCATCATCGGCATCATCGAGCTGAAGGCAGGCGTGCGAGCTGGTGACGAGGAGAGGTCGGCCTTCAGGGGCGTGATGCTTGAAAACAGCCGACGACGAGACGAGACCCTCTCGCAATATGTCACCCGCAGGACCCGGGACTTTACGAAGGCTGCCTTCTTCGGCATAGCGATTCCGGAGGAGTTCAAGGCTTCCATGCTTAAGGAGGGCGCGGGATTGACAGGCCAAGGTCTTCAGAACCTCATGGCTCTCCTGCAGGGTCACGACAACTCGGCCGACCATGTGGCTGCCACGCTTGCCCGGATGGACGTGAGGTCTGATCGCATCACCGCCTTCTCCGAGGAGGGTCCCGGCCCGTGGCCCTCGGAAAGCTACTTAGCAGGCGAGGAGCTGGACTCGACGGACGAGGGCGAGGCCACCCCGGAGGAGATCGCGCAGGACGAGAACATCCTGTCGGAGCTCACCGGCTTGGACTTCACGGACGACCAGGCGGCGTTGGTCTTCGCGATCATGGAGAACCGTATGCCACGGCGGCGCAGAACGTGGCGAGAGAACAAGAAGTTCAAGGCTGAGCTTCGCAAGGACCGCTCCAGTTTCACGAAAGGCCATCCTGCTGAAGGTCGACCGCAGGGAGCCCGACCTTCGCTCCCAAAGGACCAGTTGCGAAAGCTGTCCAGGTGCCACAACTGCGGGCGTCGCGGCCACTGGAAGGACGAGTGCCCCGTCGGCAAGAACTCCGAACGTGCGGACCGAGGAGACGGTCACAAGGTGCAGGGGTTCTGCTACCTTGGCGGATCCCTGCAAGGCGCCAGCAGTAACGGGCCACGGCGGTGGCTCGGAGAAATCTCCTTTCCATCCTGAAGTCGGTGGAGTAGACGACGTCCATGGCCATGATGTTGCGCCCACCGGAGGTGCTCCGTCCGGAGGACGCAGTCCTGGGTGAGGGCTCGGAGGCACTGCCGTCGAGCGTTGTCCAGCCTGGCCCGGTATCCCGTAGAGTGGGCCTCCCCGCTCCTGTCTGGGAGGACTCCATGGCATGCCCAGCGTCCCGGGGCTCCATCCTCGAGGCTGCCAGGCCAAAGGGCATGAGCCACGCGCTGCTGTCCCCAAAGTCTCGCCAGCTGGTGGAACGGGTAGTACTCCTGGAGCTGGCATCGGATATCCCATTGAAGAAGCAGCTGCCGGGCCCATCCCAAGGGGCCCCAGTGAGGTAAACGAAGTCGCTCCCAAGGTGCCTGCACCAGACCACTGATGCGGGACCGGTCCTAGAGGAGTCTGTGGTGATAAACCTGGAGGCTGATGAGGTAGTGCTCCGGCGTCGCTGACCGGCGCCGGGAGTGCAGGGTGTCCTTCGACTCCTGGTGGTGCGTCTCGTCCCGAAGTCGTAGCCTGCACCAGCTGCCGTGCTGCTTGGATCCATGGGTCGCCTGCGCCTTGTAGAGGATCTCCACCAGGTTCTCCCGGGGGATTCCTCGACGAGGTAGCACTTAATCGTGTAGTAGGAGGCGAGGCCGAGTCGGACCCATGGAACTCGCCGCTGCCGCAGAGTCTTGCTGCGGTCCTGCGGAGCTCTGCTCCGCCTCCCAAACTGGAAAAGCTTGCGGGTCGGCACTCCCCTGCCACCCGCCGTGACCCCATGATTGGCTTGGCCAGGGAGAGGTAGTCGTTGCTGAAGTTGGAGGAGCCCAGTGATCATCCCTGGGTCCCATGACGTTCCCTGAAGCATGTCTATGCCAATCAACCCAGTCTTGAGGTGCGCCTGACTGGGCCTGCCAGTAGCGGTAGAGGTCGTTGACGGTAGCCATCGCTCGAACCTCGGTCTCGGCGATCAAAACGAGCAAGGCCTCACGGACCACGCTCCGCTACCAACTGTCGAGACAGTTGGAGCGACAGCACACATCAGCGGATCTGCTTCTTTTCCTACTTGGCGGCTTGTCGGCGCTTGAGCCAGCGCGTCCGGTCAGCAGCTCGTCAGACGTTAGGTATCCTGGTCAAGAGTGCTTTCCTAATCCGACAGGATGGTATTCACATTCGGGACATCAGCATTGCCGCTGTCGGCATGTTCGACACAGATCTTCTGACATGCAGAAAACGGCGCACGGTGCGACGAAGCCCACTCATGGATTGATTTCTGGAAGTAGCAACCCGTGCTAAACTCTCGACCCCAGAGAGCACGAAAATCGCGCTTACGGAGAAATGCTGGAGCAAGACCTTCAGGGTCCTGTGGTGAGGCCGCAGCTGCACCAGGCCCGTTAAAAACCTAAAGGCCTACAGCCCTTCTGGTTCCAAGCAAAAACTCAACGACCCTAATTTAGAAAACCACCCATGTGCGCAGCCACATGTCTTTTGAATGTCTTGCAGATGGACGAGAGGTTGCAAGTCCAAAGACGTTATCTCGTCTGCAACGACTGCAGAAAGCTGAGCCGGAGACTTTGGAGACTCGACTCTGCGGGGCACAGCGGGAAAGCAAACATCGCAACTAACGAAATCTGACGAGCATATTAAGGTCGCATCTACAGGCAACAGCAGCACTAGCATTCGGATCTGCTTGATACGTGGATCTCGTGCCCGGTGCAGTGTCTGCATTAGAACTGGAAACAGAGGTGCTTCTTGCAGCCCAAACTTTCTCAGGCATTTTTCAAAGCACCAGCTAAGAGCTGATCTCATCTCAGAGACTCACAGGATGGCTTCGACCTCGGAAAAGAGAGAAAAGGGGGGTCAGCATGGCCTCATGGGTCTTCTCTGTTTCGAGGTCTCTTCCTGATCTGAGCTTTACTTGTGACCTCGCATGTCTGAAGATGGTAGAAGGACAGTCCTAATGACCTACTGAAATCTCTAAGTGGGAACACGGGCAGTGCTCGCCATCCCCAGAAGGCCGCCCTCTGAAACGGACGAAAGCCACCGAAAATCGCCTGCAGCTACTCTTCTTCTTGCCAACATCGACTCCGACATCTCCGACCACTGAGCTTCGGGCCGTTGCTGTTGGGGCCGTTGCCATAGCCGGCCTTCGTTTGGGAAAGCTCGTCATCTCCGGTCGCCTGCCCGGGCTACTGAAGTCTTGAGTCCAACTACAGGAGACCCACTACTGCGTTGTAGCAATGCAACGCAGCGCATGCAACGAAAACGTGGCCCTTTCGACATTGGCTGCCACCTCCGGTATGTCTTCATCACCGTTGCAGCCTGCTTGGAGCTTGTCCCCTCAGCACAACGCCCCGGACACAGAAACTTCTTCTCAGAAAGCGCAGGACATGCACAGTAATGGCCAGCGCCAAGGGAATCCCAGGTGGCGCTGCAACTCGCGTCGGTTCTGTTGGATCAGTCCGAGCATTGCACTGCCTTGACAATACTGAAGACCTACTGAAAATTGCATGGACAACTTGGGCACAGGCTGGAATGCAAGGTCCGTGATGGCCTCAGCGTGCCGAACCATCATGAACCCCAGCAACCTCCTACAGCCTTCCAGAATGTCGTCTCCTTCCTGGCCCGGACCATGGGCAACATAAGCCGCTGTGGCTTCAGGAACTCCTGGGTTGGTCGTGGGGTTCCTGGGGCGCGGAACGTAACCGCAGGTCCTAAAAAGAAAAACACGACTGGGAAGAGAAACAACATGATGCCTCCCGCATTCTGTATCCTTCTGTCACCAGCCCCTGCATCTAGCCCATGATGCATGGCACTCTCCAAGGTCCAGGCTTCTCCAGGGATTTCAAAAGTGGGGTCCTCGCGATCCTGCAGGCTTCGTAAGGAGAGAAGCACAAAGCGTCAGGTTCCACTGCCGGCTTCGGAGGACCCGGCTCCTTGGCTCCTGAGTGGCCTCCAATGTTACAATATTCTCGCGGATAGCGGAACGGAAGTGCAAGAGCCTCAGAAGCCGTGCAAGACATGCTTTTGTGTGTAGAGTACATCTTGACCGAAGAGACTGCCAGTACCTGTGTGATCTTGGAACCGGGCTCCTCTGCAGAAGGTTCCGGCGCTTTGTTCTGCAGCTTGACCTGCCGGATTTCTGGCTTGCTCAACAGCGGTGGGATTGCTGAGAATGTGTGCACCGCCACTCGTCAACTTACACATCAATCTCTTGTTTCTGACTTCTGACATGCACCCCATCCCGGCAAAGAGTGCCTTGAGATTGCTGAGTGCTCGAAGCCACAGCTTCCGCTCCGATGAGCTCTGACACGCGAAATGGTGACCTCATTGACGATGGACAGTTTGTTTCATTCTGCGTAACCGAGAGGGCGTCAACCTGTGAGACAACACACTTGGAACCTGGCCCTCCACTACGAAGCAGCTGCAATTGATGCCGACTACATCGCAGCACACCTGAGTGTATCTGCACGTGTGACGCGTCGGGCTTTGTTGTTCTGCTGCGCATCTCCCCTAAACCCCACTGAAGGCTGGGGCCGAGGTTTCGAAGATGGCTATTTCCATCATTGAGCCTCAGTTGCCCAAGAATGCAACAACTGCACGAGACCCTCCGGTAACCACGCAGAGATGAAGCCCTGCTAAACTCATCCTCCATCTACAAGGCCAAAGACGACGCCTACTTGTCATAAGCATTGCCGGTGTCACGGCTGGTGCTACTACTGTGCGTATTCGTGCAACTGCTCTTTTTGCTGTTGGCCCCAAGACCGTGACCTTTGCAAAGCTCGTTCTCGTACATCACCAGGCCTGGCCGGAGCGGCGTGGAACCCTTTGGAGGAGGCTGCCCAACTTGGACTTC